AAACCCTGTCTCAAAAAACAAACAAACAAAAAATTAAAATTAAAAAAAGAAAAGAAAGGAAGAAAAGAAGGAGAGAAGGCAGACCCAGGCCAGTGGGTTTAAGCAGTTGTGCTCACTGCTTCAGTGTTTCGAATTTGTCTCTCTCTGCTTCATTTTCTCTGAACCTGTTCTGGCCACCTTGTAAGCTGTAGGGGGCATTCAAAGTGGCCAGATGGGGGAGGGCTTTAGACACCCATGATGAGGAAACTGTGACACATTCCTCCAAGCAACAAAGAACACCTTGCTTTCCACCTGTCTGTTGATCCTCACGATTGGCAAGGTGAGCATCAAGTGGAGTAGTTCCTGCTAATCCCCCAAATACAATTTCCCTTTTTTTTTTCTTTTTTCTTTTTTCTTTCTTTTATTAATTACACTTTATTCATTTTGTATCCCCCCATAAGCCCCTCCCTCCTCCCCTGCCGATCCCACCCTCCCTCCCCTTTCTGCATGCATGCCACTCCCCAAGTCCACTGATAGGGGAGGTTCTCCTCTTCTTTCTGATCTTAGTCTATCAGTTCTCATCAAAAGTGACTGCATTGTCCTCTACTGTGGCCTGGTAAGGCTGCTCCCCCCTCAGGGGGCAGTGATCAACGAGCAGGCCAATCAGATTATGTCAGAGGCAGTCCCTCTTCCCATTACTATGTAACCCACTTGGACACTGAACTGCCACGATTTCCCTTTTAAAAGTGATTTAGACTCGTGACAGAAGCTGCAGCAGGCTCCAGCGCGCAGACAGGGCATTGCATTGTCTCCTTCTCTTCCTTTGATGACAACCAGACTCGCTCAGTACCAGACATGAAACAATACAGTCTCTCCCCCACCTTCATCCCCCACCCTCACCCCAGAGCTTCACCCAGGCAGCGAGGCTTAAGAGTATGAAGGCATTCTGTGTGGCTATAGGACACAGGCACATAGGCAGAATTTGGGACCACATGTTTTAATGTCATCCTAGGCTTGTCAGGAGGTCCGAAACAGCAGATAACAGGCCTGTAACAGGCATGTCTGTGGTGATCTAAAGCCAGCCTCCTGAGCTTGAGACAAGTCTCCTCACCCTCCTTCACTGCGCGTCCCAGGATGCCTCAGGGACCCTTGCACTACTCCTCTGCAGGCCCTTGTTTCACAAGCGATGGAAGACGTGACACGGGGCTCAGTCACCTGTCACTGGCTTACACTAGGCGCATCACAGTAGCCCGAGAGCAAGTGTGACAGACATCAAAATCTTTTCTGGCCCCTGTGTGGCCAGAAGAACCCTGCGTCTGTCCCCTCCCAGCCTCAGGCAGGCTTCCTGCCTCGGTTCTCGAGTGGCTAAACTGGCAGTGGGAAAAGCCAATCAGCTCATCCTACTCAGCCTGTTTTAATCGCCATGGTCTCTGCCCTATGCCATTTGATGCTATAGTGACTTCTGGATGTCGCTGGAAGCTGGATGAAGGAAGCAGGGACTGGCCGGAGTGTAACCGTCTCTGCCCAGCCCACCCCAGCCACACTGCCCTTGCTGCTCCAGGACAAGGGAAGTGCTTCCTGACTCAGGGCCCTTCACACTTTTTCCCTTTCAGGAATGCTACTCCCAGCAAGCACCCTGCTCTCTCCCTCTCATTGTCCAGGCCTCTCAAAAGTTATCTCCTTCACATGTCTAAAGCAGACCCTGCCTCCCAGCTACCAATTACCGGATAAGGGCATCGGTTAGCATGCTTTCACGCGTGCTCTCTGTCCCCTTTACTAGCGTATAATACTCAGCTCTCTGTCAGGCATGTGCAGTGCCTAGAATGGAGCCTAGCACGCGGTAGCTGCTTAATAAACACGCGTGTAACGACTCTGCAGAGGTTGGCTTCTGCGTGTCTTGCATCCCTTTTCACGGGCTAGCATGAGTTAGCTGTGGGGGCCTGTCTCAGGTCACCTTCCCTTCCCACCTGCATCCCAGCCTCGGATGCCCCTGCTGCTGTGTACCTCCACTGTTAGCTATCCGTCCCTACACTGCTCCAGTGGGGACTTTACAGTGAACACGCTGTGCGCTTCCAGAACGCCCAGCGTCCCGGATGGTGCCGCCCTCCCTAAGCCAGACCCGCAGGGGTCATCCTGGAAGTCCGCCTCCCACTCCAGTTCACAGTTGAGGCTTGTTGGCTCTGTTTATTCTCCTCGGCCATGAATTTTACCCAAGCTACCAACAACGTTCTGAACTGCTGCAGCACCTCCTCCTACAGCCGGGCCTCCTGCGCTCCCCTCTGCAGCCTCCATCTGTTTGGAGCCCAGGCTCATTTTCCTTTGCTCTCAGCGTAAAGATCAGAACCCTTAATGTGACATCTGCAAGCAGGAGAGAGAGCCAGCCTGGTTGCACCAATGCAGTTGCTTGGGTTCTCCACTACTGAGCCACCTCCGCTCCTCTTGGTGAGCGGCGCTCCCTAAAAGCTTTTTGCCCTTGCGCGCCCCCATCCATCCCCCTCAACCAAAAACTTCAGGGTTAAAGTCTGAGGCAGCAGGTAGGTGCACATACATAATGCATATATGTGCCTACCCTAGTCAGGCCCGGGAGCACGCTGTCCAGCTGGGTACTGTCATGCCCTTGTCACTGGTGAGATTTGGCTCTCTCCAGTTTTCCCTCGGCTGGGTCCCTGGCTGTCTATACTCACCCATGCTGGCTGTCCCTTCGTTAACCTCAGCTCAGCTCACAGACCTCAAAGTTTCTCTGACCTCTCACCCTAGGTCAGGCTCCTATGTGCTCGGAATATCCTAGAGCAGCGGTTCTCAGCCCTCCTAACACTGCGACCCTTGGAGACAGCTCCTCATGTTGTGCTGACTCCCAGCCACCTAACTACTTCGTTGCTACTTCATAGCTGTCACTCTGCTACTGCTGTGAATCTTAATGTAAATGCCTGTGTTTTCAGAAGGTCTTAGGTGACCCCTGCGGAAGGGTCATTTAACACGTGCATCCCACAGGTTGAGAACCACTGTCCTATGCCTTTCCTTCGTGGCCGTAGCCATACATGATTACGCAGTTATCAATTCTCCCTGCCTACAGGGGTAAAGGGGCAGGATTAGTCTATGTGTGGGGATGCACAGATCCAATGATGCCAGAACAAATGACAAAAGCAGCCACGTGTCAGTACACGTGCACCCTGGTGTGAGCACCTTCTGTAAGCAGACACTAATATTAATTGTTCAGGCGACAAGAACCAAAAGATGTGTCCTGGGCAAGCATGTCTCCTATGTGAGCCAAGTTCCTCTGTGTATGGACCTGGAGTAATTACCCTCTGACTCCTGCCTGTGGAGACTTTTTGGGAAGGGCGGGTTCACGTAAGGTGAAGCCCAGGTGCCTTACGGCCATCACCAGGCCCTGACCAGAGGATAGAAGCCTGTGTCCAACTGCAAGCAGCAAGCATGTGTCATGGACAGCAAGCTTTGCACACCGGCGGGTTGCCTTATTTCCTGGTGTCTTTCATTTCCTTGGTGTGGCAAGCAGTGTCCGCTTTGAAAGGAACGGGCTGGTGGCAGCCAGGTCTGTGGTCTGAAACCTAAGGCGGGACCCCCTTCCACGACCGCAGACAGGCATTGTCAGCAGCCCAAGAGAAAAGGTGTCAACAGAGCACCAAGGATGCCCACCTGCCTCTTGCTTTCATCCTCTGACACCTACAACAAGGCAGATAAGGAAGGGAGCCATTGCAGGTGGCAGCTGTGTCCACAGGAGGGCCTTCAAGAGGAAGCCATTCCTCGGTGCCATTCCAAACCCTCCACTGCCACAGCCAGCCAGACACAGCCTCTCTCACTCAGTTGCCCCTGAGTGGCCAGCTCGCTGGTCCTTTGAGATTGGGAGATTAATCCTTGGAAGCCCCCCCTTACGTTCTGACTCCACTGGCAGTTGCATGGCAGCTAGGACACAGCAAACTTTGGGACCCCTAGGTTGGGGTTGCCCATTCAGTCCAGAGAGAGACTTATAGATGGAGGATGCCAGATTTCTCTCTCAGACCTACCAACGAAGACTTCTTCCTTGTCCCCAGGCTTTATTCGTGCCTCCTTCCCCAAAACAATGTATTCAGCATTCTAGCCAGCCTCTCCTCTGTCCACACAGGACATCTGACTCAACCCTTGAGGGTTCAGGAGTCCATGTGTATGTGGCTGTGGGTCTTTCTGGGTGGGAGATGACAGTATCCTTTTCCTCACCCAGGCTGCCTACTCAAGCCCAGCTCACACACCCTCACCACCCCCACCCCAAGTTCACTGCCATGGACAGAATCACAATCGTAGCCTGTATTTATCACCTGTCTCACCCTCCTTGTTCTTTTGCTGTGGACTGAATCCAGCACAAGACCAACTCAACTGTAATGGGATCTTGTACCTGGGAAGGGGAGGGTTGAATTCTGTAATTCCAGTCAGACCTGGAGGGACAGGGAGAAGATGATGGGCAGAGCCCAGAGGCAGGTTGTTGGGGATGCCGAGCAAACCTCTACCATATCCAATATGAGCACGCTATGCTAAAAGTAAGAAGTCAGTCTCAGAGGGACAAACATTATGGACCCCACTTGTAGAAGATCCCTGAGGGGTGGTCGAGTCCCTAGATGCTGAGAGCAGAAGGTTGTCTCTTGCAGCACTCGTCTCCCTCCCAGTGCTTAGGAACCCCCAAAGACTGCTGAGGGGTAAGGAATTTACACCATTGCTCCAGCACTAGCCTAAGGCTCCTCCTGCTCCTTTCCAAAGGCCACATCCAAGGCAAGTGCAGGATCCACAGCAGCTTCTAAGGGAGAGGCTGCAATGGCATGGACTGAGCCTGGGCATCACTGCCAGTGCAAGGTAGCCTTTCTGTCTGCGGACCCAGGCTGGAAGGAATCAACACAGGGTGAACCGGGGCAGAAGCCCCAGTGACTTCTGAAGCTCTGGGAAGAGTGCGGCAGGACAAGTCCCAAAGCTGTCAGGGCACAGCAGCAGGCAGGGGCCCCTCCTCCAAGTGGCCGCGCTGTCCCCCACCCGCTGACCTGGTTACAGGTGTTAATGTCCACTCCATTGCGCAGGTGGTCCAGAGCCTTGTCCAGGTTTCCCGAGCGCGCCGCCCGTAGAAAGCTGGTAGCAGCGTCGGCCTGTGAGGAAAAACAACAGGGTGTGAGCTTCCCCGTGCAGCAAGGATCGGGTCCTCACAGGAGGTCACCCTGGTGCACATGACATCCCCGGCTGTGATGTCAGCACCCACAGGTCCAGTCTGGAGCTGCCTTACAGCTTGGGAATCCCTCTCTTTGGGCACCTTTACACGTAGTTATCCTTGCAAGGAGGAGAGACCAGCTTTGAGAGTAATTCCAAACTAGCTGCAATGGTGAACACCCCACACAGCTGGGTTTGGCTGCCTCTATGGTGCAGAGCCCTCCTTGTTTGGTTTTGTCTTCCCGCTGCTGGGTATTGAACCCAGGGCCTCACACATGCTAGGCAAGTGCTCTATCACTGAGCTACATCACCAGCACCCCTATACCCACCCACCTTTCTTTCTTTCTTTCTTTCTTTCTTTCTTTCTTTCTTTCTTTCTTTCTTTCTTTCTTTTCTTTTTAAATTTTGAGACAGAGTCTCACTAAGTTTCCCAGGCTTGTCTCAAGCTCTCTGTAGACCAGGTATACCTTGAACCTGTGATCTTCCTGTCTCAGCCCCCCCCCCCCCCCCCCCCCCCCCCCCCCCC